AAAAAAAAAAAAAAAAAAGGGCAGAGTAACAGTGTCTACGTCATGGATTGTTGTGAGAGTTAAATAAGTTAATATTCTGAAGCATTTAGAACACCACCTGGCACATTGTTTGCTATTGCTGACTAACATTATTATTACCTGAACTGAATATACAGACCCCCATGGAAATATGTGTTACATTGTGGGATCTTATATATTATTTACTATTTATTTATTTTTGAGTCAGAGTCTCACTCCATCGCCCAGGCTGGAGTGCAGTGGCAAGCTCACGGCCACCCCAGCGTCAACCTGCTGGGCTCCGGCGATCCTTCTGCCTCAGCCTTCCAAGTAGCTAGAACTACAGGCCCGTGCTACCACGCCCAGCTTATTTTATTTTATTTTTTTGAGTGGGAGTCTCACTCTGTCACCCAGACTGGAGTGCAGTGGCCGCTCCCGGCCACCGCAACCTTGACCTGCTGGGCTCCGGCGATCCTTCCACCTCAGCCTTCCAAGTAGCTGGAACCACAGGTGCATGCTACCACGCCCGGCTAATTTTTGATTTATTGTAGAGATGAGGTCTCGCCAAGTTGCCCAGGCGGGTCACGAACTCGCGGGCTCAGGCAATCCACTCACCTCAGCCTCCCAAAGGCGCGGGATTACAGGCTGAGCCACCGAGGCTGGCTTTTAAAAAAAAAATTATTGTAGGGACGAGGTCTTTCAAGTTGCCCAGGCTGGTCTTGAACCCTGGGGCTCAGGCAATTCACTCGCCTTGGTCTTCCAAAGGGCTAGGATTACAGTGTTTCTTTGCACATCCCAATAAAATAAATGATCTGGGTCTCAGTCTCCCCTTTATTGCATGTGGTTACAGTTTACAAATACACTTGCCATTTTCCTCCCCTTCCAGAACTCTCCTCCACACCCAGTCATTCCACTCCAACCCCTGGTTGTCGCTGACTTCCTGTCCTCTCCTCTTGGAGGGGAGGGGGCTCCTCTGTGCAACTTCGTCTGCATGTCAGGTCGACCATGGTCCATGTGAAGTGCGGACCCTCCGAGGGCCTCGGAAGCTTGGGGCTGAGCACCACGAACTCTCGAGAGGTCCCAGGGACGTCTTTGCAGGGGCCGTGCGGCGGCTCCCTCGGTGCTGTGCGCGGGTGCAGGGTGGTGGACAGCGGCGGCATCCCATGCCCTGTCTGTCCCCAGGCTTAGCCAGCGCAGCCCCAGAGGGCGAGTGGGCCGGCCACGGGGTCCCAGGCGTGCTCAGGCAGGGGCGAGAGTCCAGTGGAGCGCACCCGCCCGGCCCGTGCCCAGCCCTGTTCTCGAGGGGCGTCCGAGGCTCAGTCCCTCAGGGTGGCACCTCACAGGGCCCTCCCCAGGCCCCTGGGAATCCCGCGTAGGGCGGGCAGCCCCGGGGAGAAGGTGCTCTCGTCCTCCCCTTCTCCCTTTTCCTGACACCATCAGGCCTGGGTGACAAACTGGCTGCTTGGGCCCTGGTGGGAGGGCGTGGCACCCCAGTGCTCCGTCTCAGCTAGGTGCCAAGCTTTGCCATCTTCCTGGCATGGGGTAGAAAGCCCGGGAGGCCCAGAGTCGCCCTCCTCGGGAATGGGGTATGAGGGGTCTCGGGAAACCGGGGGGTCTCCGGGGCCCCGTGCTCCCCCGAGCATGGGTGCATTGTAGATGTAGATGTTCCCGGTGATCGTCATGGACCCGCCGGTGACATGAATGCCCTTGGTCCCTGTGAGGAGGGGGCGCAGTTGAGGAGGGGGTCCCCAACAGGGCCCACTGCGTCTTGGGTCCCCTGCCGGCCTCTCCTTTTCCCTCCCTCTCCCCCCTGGCTTGTGGTTCTGGAGCTCCGCGTCCATCTCTGTTTCTGGCTTCCGGTTTCTTCCCCCCTCCCTGGTTGTGACACCAGCGGGCAGTGGAGTCCTGTCTTGGCCCTCTTGAGTCTTTTCCTTCCTCCAGTCGCTTCCTGCCCGCTGGCCATCCCTCCCTCCCGCTCCTCCTCCCTCCTCTCTGCCGCCTGCAGGGGAACCCAGGCTCACCGGGAGTCACCGGGCCCTGCTCCCCGGGCTCAGGCTGCAGCTCCCTGGGGAGGCCCAAGGGGCTCTGCTGCTGCAGCACCTCCGGCTCCAAAACTGGGGTCATGGGGAGCCCGCTGGAGGCTGGGGACGCATCCCCGGAGCTGGGCAGCAGTGGCTCCACCAGGTCCGGGAAGTGCAGGTTGGCCTTTGGAGGCTCCCAGCTCGCATCCGCGGCATTGGACTCCTGTCCCTGCAGAAGCCAGACAGACACCCAGCTAGTGACGATGGCCCAGGCTTCTTTTGTTCCCATGCCCCGTGCCCGCCTGAGTTGGCAACCCCTCTCGCCTCTGCCCTTGTCTGCCCCTGCCTCAGGGCCTGTGCGCCCCGTGCTCCCTCTTCCTGGGCACTTTCCACAGATGGCTCCATGGCTGGCTCTCGGCTTCTCACAGAGGCCTTCCTGGCTTCTCTGTGGAAAAAGAGCACGGCCCGTCCTTGGCCACTGTCACTCCCCAGCCCCTTCCCTGCTTTGGGGAGCAGTTCTTGCGGCCTAATGTATACTCGTTTGACATTATTCTCGTTCCTCTGGCTGTAAATTCCAGGAGGGCAGGCATTTTGCTTTGCTCACCGCTGCACCCCCAGTGCCTAGGACGGTGCCTGGCACGTGGCATGCTCACTAAGTCATTAGCTAAATGAGTGAATGAACTAATGAATGGGGAATCCGCCAGCATACTCTCTTCCTGCTCGCTCCCACCGTGTAGTCCTGTCACCTGGGCCCCCCTTGCTGACTTCTCCGCCTCCCCCATTACCTCTGGTCGCCTCCTGAGCAGGGATCCTGCAACGGAAAGTAAAATAGTCAACGTCCAGGGTCCGCATGTGAGTGAGAACGTGTGGCACCCTGCTCTTTGTTTCTGTGATGGGTCACTGAGTATGATCGACTCCCAACACATCCAAGCTGCTGCGAACATTTACCATGATACTGTAAGAAAGGGACTGGCAGGAGCGGGATACTGCCAGGGGTCGGGGGCGGGGGCGCACACCGTCTACAAGGGCACCTGATCTCAAACCAGGCAAAGTGGGGACCAAAGGGAGGCCCAGGCTTTGCTTGTACAATGACCACTTGAATACCCAATGCTGAAATGCACCGCACATCTTTACAATTAAAAAAAGGCCAGGCTCGGTGGCTCAGCCTGTAATCCCAGCGCTTTGGGAGGCCGAGGTGAGCGGATTGCCTGAGCCTGCGGGCTGGAGACCCGCCTGGGCAACTTGGTGAGCCCTCATCTCTACCATAAATCAAAAAAATTAGCCGGGCGTGGTCGCACGCGCCTGTAGTTCCAGCTACTCGGAAGGCTGTGGCGGAAGGATGGCCGGAGCCCAGCAGGTCGAGGCTGCAGTGGCCGGGAGCGGCGCTGCACTCCGGTCTGGGCAACAGAGTGAGAGTCCAACTCAAAATAAAATAAAATAAACTTTAAAAAGAAGGAAAATAAAATGCGCGTGGGGCCCCAGCGGGGCCTTTCACCCTCCACACCCCACCGCAATGCCTGCTGCCCACCCTGAGGCCCCAGAACGAACCCCAGCCGCAGAGTGGACGCCGGACAGTGATAACGGCGTCTGCCCGGGGCGGGGGTGGGGGCAGGCTCTGGGAGTCTTGAGGGTCTGGGGGGAGCTGAACCCGGAAAGTTGACTCTTCCTGCCTCCACCCCCACTGCCAACCCAGCCACAAGGGGAAAGAGGGCTCGGCCGCCTCTCGGGCTGCGTGGGGCTCCTTCCTACCCAGCTTTCTGCAGAGAGAGGGGTGGCTCTTCCAGGCGCAGGCGAGGACGGTGGCGAGGCACAGGAAGAAGCCCAGCGACAGCAGGACCGCCAGCATCAGCATCGTCCCTGCCAGGACAGCAGATGGAAGGGGTGATGGCAGCCCCAAGACAGAAACGGGGACCGGGAGCGGCGGCTCACTTCTGTAATCTCAGCACTTTGAGAGGCCGAGGGGAGAGGACTACCTGAGTGCATGCGTTCAAGACCAGCCTGGGCAACATGGTGAGACCTCATCTCTATAATAAATAAAAAAATTAGCTGGGCGTGGTGTTGCGTGCCTGTAGTTCCAGCTACTTGGAAGGCTGAGGCGGAAGGATCGCCGGAGGCCGGCAGTTCGAGGCTGCGGTGGCCATAAGCATGCCACTGCACTCCAGCCTGGGCGACAGAGTGAGACTCCGACTTAAAAAAAAAACCCCAAAAAACCATGGCATGAAGAGTGGCCGTCTAGTGATGGTTCTGTGAGTGAGTTTTCATTGGCTTCTTGGAATTTTCTAACTTTCCACAGCGTGCGTGTATTGCGGCACGGGCTTGGAAGAAAGAAAACCTGAGCACAGGTTCTGATAACACCAGTTACCGCCTTGGCACGTGGTGGAACCTCTCTGAGTCTCAGTTTCTTCATCCAGTCCGTGAGGATGATAACAGAACATACTCTAGAGGATCATTAAGAGGATTGAATGAGTTAGTGCAGGTAACGTGCTTACGGCGTGCCCAACACGTGAGCTGTCAACCAGCGCAAGCTGTAATGATTAATTCTTAGTAATTTAAAAAAGTGAATGAGCCGGGCTCGGTGGCTCAGCCTGTCATCCCGCGCCTTTGGGAGGCTGAGGTGAGTGGATGGCCTGAGCCCGCGGGTTCGAGACCCGCCTGGGCAGCGAGACCTCATCTCTACAATAAATCAAAAAATCAGCCGGGCGTGGTAGCGCACGCCTGTAGTTTCAGCTCCTTGGAAGACTGAGGCGGAAGGATCGCCGGAGCCCAGCAGGTCGAGGCTGCGGTGGCCGGGAGCGGCCACTGTACTCCGGTCTGGGCGACAGAGTGAGACTCCAACTCAAAAAAAAAAAAAAAAAAAGAAAAACAGTTAAGTAAACTCTCTGCCAACTAGTACTGACGACGGTCATTAGCAACATCCTGTAATCACCGACCAGGCTAGCAAAACGGCCAGTCCACAGGAAAAAAATCAAGTCACACGGGGGCTCACGTCTCCAACAACGAAAGCGTGTTATCTGAGAGGGAGGTGTTCGCGCCAGTGAGTGGACTGTATGATGGTGGCCCATCCAAACGATGACAGCAGTGTCAGCTATAATTACATATCAGTGTGGAAGTGTTCCTTGTTAGAGTATTGTGTTAGACATAACCTTGAAAGTGTGTGTGTGTCAGTACACTACCCTTGAGATGCTCTGATTTATCTTTTAGGAATTTTTCCTCTTGTCCCAATTCTTGGAGGAAAGGAGTCCTCTTTCTCCATTTTTTTTTGTGTGTTTCATTTGGAGTCTCACTCTGTTGCCCAAACTGGAGTGCAGTGGCAAGCTCCCAGCCAGCCACCGCAGCATCAAACTGCTGGGTTCTGGTGATCCTTCCAAGTAGCTGGAACTACAGGCGTGCACTGCCACGCCCAGCTAATTTTTGATTTATTGTAGAGACAAGGTCTTGCCAAGTTGCCCTTGCGGGTCTCGAACCCGTGGGCTCAGGCCATCCAGTCGCCTCGGCCTCCCAAGTGCTGGGATGACAGGTTGAACCACCGAGCCCGGCCTCTTTCCCCACTTTTTAAGCTGGGGGGATTAAGGCATTTCCCCAGGCACCCCTTGTGCCCTCAGTCCTGGTCCCTCACCTGGCGCCTCGGGGAACCGTGACTCTGATGGACTTCGGCAGCTTGTGTCAGACTGGGTAGTGCCTGGATCTGCCTCCACCAGACCCTGGTCCTCACACCTGTGGGGGAGAGAGGGGACCGTGACCTCCTCGTGTCCCCGCCTACCAGTGCCCAAGCTCGGGTGGGCACGTGGGGCTGGAAGTGGCAAGGTAAGCCTGTGGTGCCATCTGTGGGGCGGTTGTCAGTCGCTGCGGTGGAGGGAGCCTGGGCAGGGCACACTCACCTGGTGTGGGGCTGGCAGCGGGCGCTGGGCGAGGAGGTGTTCTGGAAGTGTCCCGCCTTGCAGGGGACGCAGTGGCCGGTGACCTCCCCAACTTCGTCTGGCAAGAGAGAGGCCAGCCAGGGTGAACGGGCACGGCGCGACTTCTTAGACGCTTCTTCTTGCCACCCAGCCCATTCTGTGGCCTCACCTGGCCCAAGCTCTGCTTTGCCGCCTTGCGTTTTGCCCAAGCTTCCCCCGCACCGAGGGGAGCCCCCTCCTGCCTCCTGCCCCGTCCTGAACCCGTCTCTCTGCAGACCCCTTCTGTGAGCCTTTTGCACAGAACGAGAAGAGGCGTTCGATGCCCAGCAGAACCAGCTGGAGGGCCCGCCACGGACACAACACCACCCCCCCTGCCTCCAGTCAGGTCCCCGCCATCCGGCCTCCCTCTCGCCCTCTGCCCTCGGTGCCCTCTGACCTTTGAGTTCGGCTTCAGTGCCCGGCGGGCAGTCGGGAGGCAGCTCGCAGTGGTTGCAGTCCGGGCCCCTGTCGGCACAGAACATTCCTGGCTGGCAGCGGCACTGGGTCTTCCGTTGGCCGGTGCATGGGGCGACCTCCTCCAGGCCCATCACTGGTGGGGAGATGGAGGGCTCAGGGCGCGCGGTGCGCCAGGAGGCCTGGGCCGACCCTCGGGCACGCCCCCCTTACTGTGGTCACAGGGGCGGCACATCTGGCAGTGGGACAGGTAGCTCCAGTACTCGTTGTAGGAATTCTCGGGGCACGTGGCGCACACCGTGTCTGAGTCGCGGCTGCATTTAGTGGCGACATAGGTGCCTAGACGGTGAGTAGGGCAGCAGGGCGTCAGGAGACGCCACCGTGGCGTGACCCAGGCTCGTCCCTGTCCCGCGTCTCTTTGCCCCGTTCCTCCCCACCCCACGCGTGGCCCTCGGCCCCCCCGCAATGCAAAGAACCAGGAGGCCTGTGAGGAGCGCAAACCTCAGAGCCTACAATGACAGTGGCTGGAGCTTCTCATGCTGTCTGCGCCAGGCGCTGCCCCTGGGGGACGGCGTCCACTTTCCATCAGGGGCAGGGAGGGGGTTGGACCCCTGCGCCCCACCTCTGTGGCCCCGCTTTCGCCCTCCCTTGCCTCTCACCTGGCGGGCAGCGGGAGCAGCAGATCTGGTGCTTGGACTCATAGTACTCCTTCTCCTGGTCCCTGCAGGTCTGGCTCTCCGAGTGGTATGGGGGCGTCTCCAAGCGGGAAGGCGGGGAGGGAGACCAGTCAGGCGGGGGCCCCTTTGGGAGGGCAGAGGGGCTGGGTCGGGGGCTGCCCAGGGTGACCCCTCCTCTCTGCCCTCGCCACCCCTGCCTAGGCCCCTCCCTTACCAGCTGGGGCTGGGATGCCACCAGGAGCCCGCAGAGGCCCAGCGCAAGGGGACCCCAGGCCAGGCCGCGGGCAGAGGCGGCCCAAGGCAGGCCCATGACGGCCGCAGGGCTAGCCGGCAGGATGGGTGAGGGCCTGGGAGGAAGCTGGGAGGCCCGGCGTCCCCAGCGGCGATGGCGGTGGCTTCCCGAGCCGGGGGGCTGGGACGGGACTTGGGGCCAGTGTGCCCCCGGGGGGGCCGGAGCGGCCAGGCCTGGCCTCCAGGGCTCCCGCGGCCGGGCTCAGGAAGTGGGAGTGGAGCCCGCTGGCCGGGGCGGGGACAGGGAGCGCTGGGAGCTGAGAATGGCCTGTCGCAATCACAGTCAGGGAAGAGGAACAGGCTTGGCTGCCTCCTAGCAGGGCGGGAGGGGGCGGCCGGGAAAGCACGTGAGGGCAGCAGGGCCGGAACCCAGGCCTCCTCCCTTCTTCGGAGAGACGCAGGGTCAAGACAGGCCCAGCTGGGGGAGAAGGGGCCGTGGGGTTTGCGGAGCGTCCTCAGCGAGGCCTCCTGGAGCCCTGCTGGGGCAGAGCTAGCCGGGGAACAGAAGGGGCTCCAGAAGGAGCAGCGGACAGTTGGGTGCAGGGCCTGCAAAGTGAGGGGGCCGGGACAGACACACAGGGGAGCGCACGGAGCAGAGCCTGAAGCACCAGCCAGCAGACGCAGTGTCTGGGACGCAGAAGTCCCTGCCGGCAGGGGCCTGGCCTCCTTCTCGGCGGTGTGGCTTTTAAGTCAAAGGGAGCAGCGAGTCAGGCGGCCCTCCACCCCGCTGACCCAACCAGTCCACACGAGCGGGCAGGGCATCTCGAGGCACCGGAGCGGGTGTAGTGGGCCTGCTGCCCGCCCTTGCCGAGGAGGGAGTGAGGGGACAGATTTCCTGAGGCAGGGAGGCCAGGTGGGCTGGAGCTGGGCAGCCCCGCTTCTGGCCTCCCCACCCACGAGCCTCTAATCCCTTTGGGCTGGGGGGAGCCGAGCCCCGCCCAGCCCAGCCCCCTCACCCTGGCGGCAAGGAGATGGGGGCCAGGGTGGCCGAGGTCCAGATTCCAGGTGGCTCAGTCTGGCCCCGCCCCCTTTCTTCACATTCACTCCCTCGGCCCCTTGTAACCCTTCCGGAGACACTCGCAGTGGCTGCTGTGTGCTTGGCTTGCTGGTCTCCAAGTTCTTGTCCGCCCAGGTAGGTCCTTGTGGGCTCTGCGGCTCGGGAGGCGTCTCCTGCCCCGGGCTGTGCAGACCCACCCGGCTCGCAGTCTGCTTCCTGGCAGGTGTGTGCTCAGCCATGGCTTGGGCTGACAGTCGGCACTCCCTGTACTCAGCACAGAGTGTAGCCTGTTCCACGGGCTCGATGCATCTGTACGGGATAAGTGAATGACGTCCACTTCACACCGTCCGTCTACAGCAGAGCCAGCCTCGAGTCCAGGTCTCCCGATGTCCAGGTCCCAGCTCTTTCCAGCAACTGTACTGCTTCCTCATGGCTTAGAGTGTCTCCCCGGGATGGGAGACTCACTTCTGCTCTTAAGATAGGTCACCAGCCGGGCTTGGTGGCTCAGCCTGTAATCCCAGCGCTTTGGGAGGCTGAGGTGAGTGGATTGCCTGAGCCCGCGGGTTCGAGACCCCCCTGGGCAAGTTGGCAAGACCTCATCTGTACAATAAATCAAAAATTAGCCGGGTGTGGTAGCGCGGGCCTGTAGTTCCGGCCACTTAGAAGGCTGAGGCGGAAGGATGGCCAGACCTGCAGGTCGAGGCTGGGGTGACCAGGAGCAGCCACTGCACTCCAGTCTGGGTGACAGAGTGAGACTCCAACCCCCCCCCCCAAAAAGAAACAAAGCAAAAAACCCAAAACAAAACACAAAACAAAACAAAACCAAAAATTATAGGCCACCTGGGTGCTGTCCCTCTCCCTTAAGGACTCTGTTCCACACTCATCCTTATCTGGTGGGAGGCTGAGACTAGACTCACCCCTGAGCTCCTTTTTTTTTTTTTTTTTAAAGAAAGCAGGATTTGTTGAGAGGACAGAAAAGCTCCCACAGTGGGAGGGGACCCAAAGGGCTTGCCCACACCCGAGCTCTTACACACCTGAAGGAACGTGTGTGTCGTCACCTTAGGTCTTTTTCTCTCTTTCTCTTTTTCGCCTTTTATTATAGCAATTCCACACGTAGCATGACATGCAAAAGGAGAGAAAATAATACCAGGAAGTCTCCACATACTCATTACCCGGCTTCCACTCTCGGTTAGTTTCATTCTTCCAGATACCTCTCCGAAGCAAGTCCCAGACATCACATTATTTCATTTGAAAATACTTCAAGGTTTTATTTTATTTTATTTTACTTTATTTTGAGTCAGGGTCTTACTCTGTCACCCAGGCTGGAGAGCAGTGGCATGATCACAGCTCACTGAAGCCTCAACCTCCTGGGCTCAGGTGATCTTCCAGCCTCAGCCTCTTGAGTGGGTAGGACTACAGGTGTGTGCCACCATGCCCAGCTAAGTT